TTTTTCCTAACTGTAATACAATTTCAAATCTATAAACTATCCAAAAATAAAAAATAAAAGTTTAATTACATCGTAATTATTTGATCGTTATTAATTCAAGATTTCATATATTTTGGTACCTCATTAACTACTAAATTAAAACTACATAATAAGTGGATATATCAAATTAAAATAATTGTTATGTTTTATTAGCAATTTTTAAATAATAAATGGATTATATTTTTATGATTTAATTTCTACGTTTTCTAAGTAAGTTTCGAAAAGAAAAAACAATCAAGTAGTTAAGAACAAAATCCTTAACTATCTAACTGAAACCAAACTAAATGTTAAACATGTATGAATCCAAACTATAAATGATATACTATAAATATCTAAAAACATTATCTCACATATATAGGTACAACTGATATAATTATATTCAAAATAATATAAAGTCTTAAAATAATTAATTCAACAAAAAGGGCTGATTTCATTTTTTTGAATATATATGTCACTAATCAAAATTGCAATTGTATAAAATGAAATATATTTTTCAACCGTATTATAAATAAATATCATATCTAGCCAAAATAATAAAAATTGAATTATTTTATTGCATTAAACACATTACTTTATTTTTAATCAAATCGATACATGATTTTGTGATCACTTTCTGCAAAATGATTTTAATCTTATGCAACAAGAGTAAAAATATTATACAAGATGGGAACGGGACGTAAAGAGATCCGAACGGAATGTAAGCATATATTTTCATACAAAAGTCTTAGAACATGTTACAATTAAAATTAATTAACGCTTGCAGTTTTATATGTAATTTTGTTTACATCATCTAGCATAAAAATGTTCAAAGTGAAAATTAAAAAAACTTAAAGTATGTTCGATAATAGTTAAAATATTTAAAACAAAGAAACATAACCAATATGTATGAACTAAATATATAATAATAAGAATAAAGAAGTCAATTATTTTTGTAATTCATTATTATATTATACCGTATATAAAGATACTCACATACAATTCAAGTGAAACAAAAAAAACCCTGAGAGCT